AAGAAGACCAGCCTGGAGCAGCTAGAACAGAAGATACTTCTTGAAAGAAAGACCAGCAGGAAAAATAAAAACAATAACAGCAGTCCAACTGACTCCTACAAGAACCATCAGGGCAAGTGGTTGTTTCCCTCAGGGCAAACACCCTTCTAAGACTGAAACTCAAGGGGAATGCAGGAGCAGGCATATGGTATTGCTGGTGACCATGTAGGGTCTACCAATAAGGGCAAGTGGGGGAAAAACATCATTGAAGTTATGAGCTAAGTCCAACCACGTTCAACAGACTCATGTCTACATCGATTGAGACCTGGCTGGCCAACAGTACGGTGAGACCTGTAGAATCCTGGACCCAGGGACAGGGACATTGCCACAGAGGACCAGAGCAGAGAGTGAAGCGCCCAACTGATATGAAGCAAAGGGAGATGCAAGAGCATACCCATACTTGTAGATAACACCCATTTGACCTGGCTTCAATGGCCGGATGATCAGAACTCGACTAGAGGAATAAAAGAATAATCTGCTACAATTTGATGAACTTGACCTACATTTATGGATGTAGTAGCTCAAAAGAGGGAATGAGTCTTTACAGCGAGGATCATTCCCACCCCCTCAGTACGCAGGGTTGACAAGGATGGGCAACTTAGACATTGGCTACCCAAAATGGGGGATTACAACGCACAAAGCGACTGGCTTACAAACTTTCAAGAGGGAGACTAGTTTCACAGGATATGGGGGAAGGTAGAGTCTCCACTGAGTGATTTCCAACCTGTCTGGACAGCGCTGGTGAAAGGAGATAGGGATAAGGCTTTTGTGGAATTGCTATCAGGACTGATTATAAGGACTGCAAATGCGAAGGTAGATGTTTTGTAACAAAAGGAGGGGAGTGATTGATCTTGCAGTCCAGTAGCAGAGGACCCTGGGACCAACAAGGGAGAAGAGAGGAGTGTGGGACCCTATCCAGAGAAGCAGTGACACCAGGGATAGAGACAGAGTTGATGACGTGGAGAGATGGAGCAGCTGGAAACCCTGGAATCAGGGAGGGAAAGGGCCTGTGGGCTGACAGCCAGTGGACAGGTTTGTAGGGTGTGCCCTTTGGTTGTTTAAATGGTTGTATATTACTGAATGCCTTGGTGTACATCAAAAAAAAAAAAAACTAGAAGGAATGGAAGCAAATGCTATTGAATGATAATGCATGGAGGAGATTGTAATCATTGCAATGAAACTAAATACAACAGAATGAATGTAAAGCTGATATTCTCCCATGTAACCTATCACCCAATTCACAATAAAAACTTCAAAATATATATATATAGGGAGCTCTGGTAGAGTGGCGGTTACAAATCAGGCTGCTAACCTCAGGATCAGCAGTTCGAAACTTACCAGCTGTTCCACAGAAAAAGGATGAGGCTTTCTGCTCCCGTAAAGATTTACAGCCTCGGAAACCCTGTACAGGGTTGCTATGAGTCGGAACCAACTCCACAACACACAACAACAACAAATATATATATATACAGATTTCCAAATCTGATGAAAGCTATAAACTAAAAAATACCCCGAAGATGCTAAATAGACAAAAAAAATCAAAAAAAAAAAAAAAAACACTCTTTCCAATCATGTCAAACTTAAAATCCTCAAAAAAGTGATCAGAAAAATTTTAAAGTACTCATAGGATTTTTAAAAAGGTGCATTTTATAAAATAAAGAGCAGATTCTGTGAAATCAAGTAAAGCTTTTAGAATCTTCATTTGCTGATGGGGCACAACTCAGAATAAGGAGTAACAGTTACAAACATCCACTGATAATCAGAAAAGGGATAGTATGAAGCATGAAAATAGGAAAACTGAAAGTTGTCAACCTAGAATTCCATATACAGTAAAAATCTTTTTCAAAAATAAAGATGAAATAAAAACTTTAATATCCAGTCATACAGTAAAAACAAATCTGTATGCCAAAATTTATTGCAGAACTTTGCACAATACCCAAAAGGTGAAAAAAAACACGCAAAATATCTAAGACAGAGGAAACAATAAGCAAATTATGGCATAACACATAGTATAATGAAGAGGTAAACAGAAAAAAGTTCTAATGCATGCAACAAAATGAAGAACCTTGAAAATATGCTGAGTAAAATAAGTCAGTTGCAAAAGGGCAAATATGAGGGGACTCCAAAAAGTTGATGCAAAAATTCCATTATATTCATTCAGTTTTTCCATGAACCTTTTAAAACCTCCTCATACAGTATAATCTTACTTATATGAAATAAATATATATCTAGAACACAAAGCTTACTGAGAGTAATCAGAAAACTTTTGGCTGGGGAGTAGAAAGGGAGCATTGAGTTTATATTAATGGTGGGTCATATTCTGGTTAAGGATCATGAAAATGGAGTTATAGCATGAAAAATACAATCAATGATATTGAGTTGTACCGGAATTCATCTATCGTTTTGCTGTACTGTGGTGGCTTGTGTGCTGCTGTGATGCTGGAAGCTATGCCACTGGTAACTGAAATACCATGGAGACCAATCATGCTTGAACAACTGGCAATCCATATGTACAAAACTGAACTTCAATCCTTGTATTAGGTGAAAAAACAACACTACAAACCATTATCCTAAGGCATTAAAAAAAAACTCTCAAAATGGATCACACACTTACAAATACAAAATCTAAAACTTTAAAATGTCTTCAAGAAAGTATAGGAAACTATTAACCTTACTTAGGGCAAATATTTCTTAGCTACAACATGAGAAGCACAATCCACAAAGAACACACCAACAGACTTCATCAAACTTAGAATATTCTATTCCTCCTAAAGCACTCATATTGTTAGCAGAATGAAAAAACAAACCATATATAGAAGAAATATTTCAAAGAATGTACCGTGTAAGAACTTTTATAGAGTATGTAACAAACTCTCCTCTCCAATGTCACTTTTTTAAAAAAACTCAATTTTTAAAATGGGCAAAAATTTGGAAAACCAACCTCACCAAAGAGATAAGATGACAAATAAGTACATAAAATGATGATCACATCAAATGAAATAACACTACACACCTTTTTAAATGGTAAAAACTGAAAAAACTGACCATACCAAGTTCTAGACAGGAAATGTTGAGAAATTCACACTGCTGGTAGAAATGTAAAATGGTACAGTGATTTTGGAAACACCAGTAAGGACCTGTGAGTTAATCCACTGTACTGTGAAGTTAATTTGAACCACAAGGTAGATGGTTCAACCTCATCAGCTGCTCTTCGGAAACCGTATACAGCGTCACTATGGATTGGAACTTACTTGACGGTACTTAGTAACACCACCACCACGTGATTCAACCATTCCACTCCTAAATGAAAACTTACACTGTCCATCCAAAAACTTGTACACAAAAGTGCATAGCAGCTTTATTTGTAATTGCCAAAAAGTAGCTATAACCTGTATGCCCATCAACAGGTGACTGGGTAAACAAACTAATATACTCATAGCAAGAAGTAATAAACTAATAACACACCCAAAATCATGGATGATTCACAAATAATTATGCTATGTAAAAGAAAACAGAGAAATAAAACTATATAAATACACTGCCATCAAGTCGACTACAACTCATAGCAACCTCTATGTAGGGTTTCCAAGGCTGCAAATCTTTACAGAACAGAAAGCTCCTCTTTTTACCAAGGTGTACTAAAACTGTTTGATAAGCACTGGACTGAGAAACATAAGGCCCACGATTCGAGCCCGCGAAACCATACCACAGGAGAAAAACAAGGTTTTCCTCTCACATAAAAATCTAAACCCTCTGAAACCCTCATCTCACTCATCTCACGATGAGTGAGAACCAACTCCATGGCACACTACCACCATGATGAGCAAAAACCAACTCGGCAGCACCTTACTAGAAAAAAACAAATTAATCTACTGTAACAGATGATCGCTGATTGCCTCGGGAGGAGAGGACGTTGGGAAGGTGGTAGCAAGGCATCACAAGAGCACAGAAAACTTACGGGGCCACAGCTATGTTCAGTGTCTTCACTTTGATGATGGCTTCATAGCTTGTATAATTAACTATGTGCAGTTTAATGTATTATCAACTGTATATCAACGAAAATGCTTTCTTAAATCTGTACTGACTTTTTAAATTTAGATAAAAATTCCATAAGCAGGAGACTGTGGCAAAGAAATGTTACAAAATAATTCATATTACACTAAAAATCAAAAAAAGTCAAAAAACTAAGGCTACAGGTCAAATTTAGCCATGCCCATTCATTTATGTACTGTTTATAGCTCCTTTGTCTTCTGCTGCAGAACTGAGTACAGCAAAGACCTGCAAAGCCAGATATATTTAAGATGTAATACTTCACAGAAAATGTCTGCTGACCATTGCCAAAAATCTCTAAGAGATTATATAATAAAATGAGTGGCTTATATCATGAAATAATTTTTTTAAAAAAAGACCCATGTGGCAATAATATCAAAAGGATTTTCCAGAAAACATGATTAGCACAATGACTTCTAATCCTCCCTAAAATAAACACGTCCACACATCATATACTTTTGAATTTAGGGTATAGCCACTTAATACTAAGCAGAAGAGGAAAATATAAGCATGGATTAAAAAAACTCTTTGCCTTTTGTGTGTCAATTCAAACTCACTGCAACCCTACAGGACAAACTAGAACTGTCCCACAGTTTCCAAGATTGCAATCTCACCTAGAGCAGCTGCTGGGTTCAAACCGCTAACTTTTCAGTTAGTATCCAAGGCATTAATCATTGTGCTACCACGGTTCATTGCAAACATGGGTGTTGTTCTTTTTAAATGCCAATGAATCGGTTCCAACTCATAGTGATTCTGTATAGGGTTTCTGAGGAACACTGGCTAAATTTGAACCACCAACTGTGCATTAGCCATCCAGTGCTAATCCTTACAGTATCACACCAGGAATTCTCCTTTTCTATGTAAGACTTAGGCATGCCTAAACTACCTACTTTCTACTTAAAAAATCTTACCTAATCTGTTCTGTTTGTACAATTCCTTCTTTGTGACCCTCCAAACGAGCAGCCAATCTCTCTTTATCAAGACGAACGCATTCTTCATCCTGGAAATAATTACTGATTATTTAATGTTTAAAACTTTTGTTAAGAAAAAATACATAACCAGTTTCTTACCAAAGTTCCACCATATAAAATTCTAGGTAGATCTGATCCTAAGATAGCTTTAAAATTACTTTTAGTTTACACGTTATACAGATACAATAAAAAAATGTTAACTCCCATAAGATAATTAACTAAAAGTTTAGAAAACAAGTTGTTCAATCACTTTTTCTATGAGTTAGTGTTCTCTCCTTCAGAAGGTTTATAACTAAAGTTTATAAAAATACTCATCACAGTCAAGAATTTAATTTTGAATTTCAATTTTTTTTCAGGTCCTAAACTGATATTGGTCATAAATTCCTCAACAAAGATCAAAACACTTCAAGTTAAACTTCAACAGTTTTCAAAACATTTTCATCACAATATTAAGAGTCTACTGCAAAGTGGCCATTAGCCACTTCAAGATCGTATCTGAATTCAATCTTCATAGCTAAACTTTTATCTAAAATACGTAATTTTGTCTGAAAACTATGTTCCTCTTTAAAAGCAAAATAAAACTTAACAACTCGATGTAGCTCAATGCCTACATTCTACAAATATGAAAACTCAGGACCAGAGTCAGTGTCTATCACTAGTAAAATATGCTATTGTATAAAAAGCATAAACATATTCAAGAGATTCAGAAATGATGTTGAATCTAAACAATACCCTAATATTAGTCCATCATGTAATAAAAATCTTAACATGAACACATCAGCTGAAATTAATGTAAGCAGATGTACTAAACATTTGTAATAAAGGCATTAACAAAGATTGTCCAAGTTACTTTAGAGGCGACTCATTTTAAAATTAAACACAGTCTAGAGTTTAGTAAAATTAAAATTACTACCCTCAGGTTTATCTCTCTGAGCACAGAGCCTTGTAAGGCCTATCAATATGTACTTGCGGAAATAAAAATCTGTCTATGTAATAAAGCTATCTCTGAAAAACACATTTTAACACATGCGCTGAAAATAATTTTATTAAGCTATCTGTTGTGGATTTTTCAAGTTCCTGGGATCCTAGCATATTAATATTGCTGGTTCAACTGTTTTATGCAATATATTAACTAACAATAAATTTTATTATGGGTAATTCCATTTTTTTGGTGGCTTCTATTTCATGTGAATTACCATTAAAAACTATTCCACTTGACATAAAATTCTACAAGAAATCTGTAACATGATATGTAGTTTAATAAAATAGCTATATATATTAAGTTCAAACTTAAGATAAATGCCCATATCACCTTACTCCCAGTGTAGGTAAACTACAACACACAGGCCAAATGTAGCCCACTACCTGTGTGTGCAATGTTTTGCGGGAACACAGTACACCTGTTCATTTATATATTGCCTAACAATTCTTGGGACTACAAAAGTGTGGAGAAGTTGTAACAGAGACCAAAAAATGCATGGGGCCTAAAATATTTACTTACTGACCCTTTCTTCAAAAGTTCTCCAACCGCTGCTCTAGTATAATATTGGGGAGGGGCGGGGGGGGAGTGTGCTTCAAAAAGCTTGTGCAAAAATATAATTTAAAGATATTGCAACTTTTCCAAACTTTCTGAAACCTTGTACTCTTACATAGGATATGAAAGACAAAGAAAATTAATTCATTTGTCCATGACTTGGCTTGTAAATAAGAAAGCCAAAACGATAACTCAAGCAACATATTAGTTGCTCTTTTCACTATCACCCCCCATCCTAATCACCCTCAACAATATTCCTAGGACTCTGTGCAGGGTCACTATACGTTGGAACCGACTCCACGGTACTTAACAACAACAACATAAGCACAAAAGTCTAATTATTACACAATTCCAATTTCAGTAACTTTATACCCAATGAGTGCCACTGATTCATAGTGACCCTGTACAAAGTTGCCAAGGCTGTAAATCTTTACAAAAACAGAAAGACTCATCTTCCTCCCTCAGAGCAGCTAGTAGGTTTGAACTATCAGACTTTCAGTTAGGTCCAGTGCTTATCGTACAGTGCCAATATAACTCCTGTACCAGTATTAATCACCTTTAAAATAAAACTCCATTACCTCAATTCGTGGTTTCTTTGCTTCTGCTAAAACTTCATCTGCAGCACGCTTAACTTTTTATAAAAAAAAAAACAAAAGTTAGTAAACATATAGCTTTGGCATATTTTTTAAAGTTCTATACAAACGCATGTCAAGACATACCTTGAGTAGATCGCTGTAGACCTATTTCTAGGGGGGCACTTCTATCAATACTTGCAGATGTTGCTGAAGATTTAAAAAGATTCATGTGAGTGATTACTTAAACACAAACATTAGATATGAATTAGTGAAATGCTCAAGGTTTGCTACATTTCTAAGTTTCAAATGATGATTTTCTTAAATAAAAATATACTTTACAGTAGTTTCATAAAAATAACTTAACTACAAGACTAATCTATATTAGACACTATACAAAAGGACACATTTTTAACAATTTACCTTACAAACTATTGAGTTGATCTCATTAACTGAAATTAACCAGTCAATTCAAACACTCCAGTATCAAACACACACACATAAAAAGTACATCTAAACCTAAATACATAAAAGTATACAGATGAGGGAAAGTCTTAAGTTAGCATTCATATTAAACATACTTTTCAGTACAATTGGTAAAAAACCTTTAAATTACATTTTAATTACATCATTTAGAATGGCTCAAAAATAATGAAAGTATAAAAACAGGTATATACCAGTCCCCATTCAAATTCCTACTTCCCACCATCCTCCATAACCACTGTTAGTCTCTTGTATATCCTTCTAGTATTACCGTAGATTCAAAAGAGTCTATTAGCCCCTTGTTTTCCTCCCTTGTCCACAAAAACATGCATACTAGATACTATTCTGCACCTTGCATTTTTTTAACATAATGATATATCTCCAACATCCTTTCATTATCAGAATGTGGAACACATTCTTAAATCTTTTACTAAATACAAAGTATTTTGTTGTATGAATTAAATATATCTACTCCTCTACTGATAGACATTTCAATTCTAAGTCTTTTGCCATTATGAATAATGCCACAATGAATAATTTTGTATATGTCGATTCAAACGTACCTGTACAAAGTATATATAATAAAAAAATCCCATAAGTGGAATTTCTATGTTAAACGTGCAATTATAAATGACTGCTGAAAAATTACTTGAATGGGAGGTTCAATCAACTGACACTACAGTCAACAAGATATTATAATGTTTCCTTGTAGTCCTACCAGCATACATACCTACTCTTCACTTATCAACTACCTTGCTATCCAAAAAATCTACTATCCCTTATTTTACATATATAATGAACACTGAGCTACAAAGTCAAAACAACAATGACAGTGATGGCTATGTGTCAACTTGGCTGAGCCATGATTATCAGTAGTTTGGCAGTTACAGGATGTAATTTAGCCATTATGTAATGATGTAGTCATTCCCAATTTTGCATAACAACCTGGTCTTTAGAACCTAACCATGTAGATAAATGAGGAGTGGGGCACGTTAAAAATAAAGATTTGTAAAACTATACCAGATCTTCTGAAACAAAAGTTACTATTTTTAATTAGTATACCACACAACTCTCATGATTTTAAAAGTTGTGGAAAAACTGCTTCAAAAAAAATTAAATTTGATTTAAGTCAAAGGAAATCTTTCATATCCTCTCAATTTCCAACCTTCTTCATAGCACAACTGGTCCCCCTCTCTCTTTAGTACTTCCCAGATTCTAATCCTGTATCTGTCTACCTTCTAGAACAGTAAACACATTGAAGACAGAGATTTTGCATTTTGTAGAGCACACAGCACAATACCTGCAAGAATAAGCACTAAGTTAGTGCTTACTGAATACTGAATGAAGATTTAACACAGAAAGACAACACTTCTGATGATAATCTTTCTATTTGCATAAGATTCTATGTACAAATCAATCTTACTGCTTAAAGCCATGGAGAAAAATATGTGACAGGACAGCTTTAATGACTTAAAGTAGTAAATACCATCCCAGGGAAAACAGTTCTACTGTATCAATTTATTTGTATTCTGTAACATGGCAAATTAACAATCATTCATTTATTCATTTAAGCACTACTGAGTCAGAACTGACTCCACGGCACATAACAACAACAACATATACCAAATACCATTTTAAATGCTCGGTCTTCAACAATAAACAACAAAAAAAAAAAAAACAAAAAAAAACAAGTCTCTGTCTACTGAGGTCTAGCCGCTAACAGGGAAAACACAAATACATAAACAAATATTTAACTATCATCAAATCAAAGAAAAAGATCTTATTTAAGCAACAAAACGAAATAGGATGGGAGGATGTAGAGAAGTGGTATTATTTTATATTTTAGATAGAGTTGTTGTTGTTAAGTGCCAATGAGTCGGTTCCTACCTGTAACAACCCTGAATAGGGTTTCTGAGGAGCAACTGGTGAGCTTGAACCAATGACCTTGTGGTTCAAAGCGACTTTGCATTCCAGCACATTAACCCACAGCATCATACGAGTACTCCTGAAGAGTTGTCAGAGAAATTCTTTGTGATGGAACAAGTCAGGCATAAAACCAAATGAGTTCAAGAGAGAGAAAAAGCAAGCACAAAGGGTCTGAAGTTAGAACACCTGAAACACTGATGAGACTGGACTGCTGTGATCAAAGGAAGATTGGGAGAAAGTCACAAGAGATTTAGGCAGAAGCAAGACCATGCAAGAGTCCTAGTGTTACAACTGTAGGATTAGCACGGGACTGCTAACCACAAGGCAACGCCTCGAAATCCCTATACGAGGTCACTATATTAGTCAGAAGCCACTCAATGACACTTAACAACAACAAAGATCATATACAGCCAATATAGGAAGCAACTGCTTTATTCTAAGCATAATGGAAAACCACAAGATAGCTGTGAGCAGGCAGGCTACACATTTGAAATATTTGAAATTGCAAATAAAGTGTCATTCTGACTTTTAGGTGGAAAATGCACTACACAAAACAGTGGAGACTTGAGAAGTGGCTATGTAATAGTCTAAAGGAAGATGAAATATGGTAGAGGTATAAAGATCAGATGTTGTCATACCTGTAAAAGTAGAGAAAAGGACTTGTTATTGGAATAGATGTGAGATATGAGAAAAGTTTTCTCCAGATTTTTTGACTTAATAAATTACATGAATGCAGTATACTAGACTTGGGTGTTTTGTTTTTTGTTTGGGAGAAGAGGAGAGAATCTGGCATTCCATTTTGAACATGTTAAATTTCAGATGCCAACTGGCATTATGAGTTAATATGCATGTTGGTTTGAAATGCAAGGTTGGTGGTTCAAGCTTACCAGCCATTCCTTGGAAACCCTGTATGGGGTCACAATAGGTCGGAACTGACTTGACAGCACTTAACAACAACAATAAACAACCAAGAGATGATGCTAAGTTGCCATGGAAGAAGTCAGTGTTGGAGATAAATTGAAAATTGAAACTCATCAACATATGGAAGTATTTAAAGGATAAAAATAAAGGAACTCACCAAAAGAGTAAACATTAAAAGAGAAAGAAAAAGAAAAAGAATCAAGTCCTACAGAAATTCAAGAATTAGAAGTCAGGCAAAAAAAAAAAAAGAAAGTAAGCAGAACAGACTGAGAATTAGACAGTGAGGATGAAGAAAACCACGAGAGTTTGGTGCCCCAAACTCCAAGTGAAGAATGGCTTTCAGAAGGTAGTATTAAATGCTGTTTAGAGCTCAAGTATGCTGCTAACAAAACAGAATAAAGGATTTGTAACCTTATGTCTGGTGTGGAGCTGTAGGACAAACACTTGACCAGAAGGTCAGCAGTTCAAATTCACCAGCCACTCCTAGGAAACCCTGTATAGGATTGCTATGGGTCGGAACCGACTCAACAGCACTAATCAACAACAAAACCCTATGTCACGTGTGACACTGTAGGATAAAGCACTGCACCACAAGGTCAGCAGTTCAAACCCATTACCCATCATCAGAAACCCCAGAGTCAGAACTGATTTGACAGCACTTAACAACAACAATCCTTTATCAGTTGCTGACTTTACAAGAGTGATTTCTGAAAGATGGTAAGGATAAATGTTAGATTTGAGTGAGTAAAGAGGTAGCAGTGACACCACACCAACTCTTTCCGTGAACTCTGAAGTAATAGCGAAAACTATATGCAACAGAAGAGAGTATGAATATGGGGTCAATTTTTGCTTTTTTTAAAAGATGAGAGATATTACTACTTTATTTGTGTATTTTAAAGGAAACGACATAATAAGTGAAACTGATGATGCAAGAAAGAAATAATAATATACAGAAGTAAGGTCTTTTAGTGAGTAAAAAGAGATGGAACCCATATATAAGGCAGGAATGACTGGCTGTAAACACAAAGTGCACTTACAGTAACAGAAAAAGTGAACAGAGTTGTACATAAGTGAGTTAATTTTTTTAATATCAATTCTCTTCCCGCTGCTTTTCAATTCATTAAAAAAAAAGAAAGAAAGAAAGAAAGAAACTTATCTATTTAAGAGTGACAACAATTTTTAAAATACTCACATGCTTCACCATTAAGATATCCAAGGAGATCTTTTCGGTCAGGTCTTCGAACCACAGGAATGTTTTCAGTCTGAAGCAAAAAGTTTAAAATAGACATGAAAATCAGTAACAACCATATGAAACTTAATAAAGATAAACACCATACAACAGGGCATCAGAAAGTTCCTGGAAATTTTACACTATCTTTTAACATCATTTTCCCATGAGCTTTTTTGAAAGCCCCTAGAGTCTGAATTTTATTCCAACATAACCTGGAATATAATTATAACTATTAATATAAT